GCCTCTACGAGATCGCTTTTAGCTATACGCACAGAATAAATAATAGTAAGTACTACGTACTATAAGACCGTCCACTGTTTATTTCATATACCTAAGACCTCTAAAGTACCTACAATGTACTTACGTCAGTATGTAATACTCAATGCCTAAGAAACATTTTCCTGTAATCTGTAATTGTGTGTTTATGGTGTAACATTGTATTAATTAATTATCATAATAAAAAACTAAAACCTTAAATTACCATATTAATAGTCTTATTTCCTGCGGCATTATACATATATTTACATTACCTATGTACATTGTATATAACATAAAAATATACTATATTAATTTAAATGGTTTCTTTTAAAAGTTGTAAGTAGTAATACAAGAAATAAAATCATTCTTGAAAATTTTATTAATTAGTTGTTAAAAACAGAAACCAAAAGTTAATTCCGATACCGGGAATCGAACCCGAGCCTCCTGGGTGAGAGCCAGGTATCCTAGCCACTAGACCATACCGGATATAAACGTTACGAGATAAATAATGAGTTGTATATTTTAGTAGATATTAAAACATCATTTAAACAAATTAAAAATAAATTAGAAGGTAGGTATTCTATATTCTACGTAGATATTTATGTTGTTTCATAGATATGTTCACTGATTTCTCGGAAATAGTTAAACATCAGCTGCATTTTGATTCGTAATCGAAAATAGATGTAAAATGTCTATGGGCCACAGCAACCACTTACCATCAGGTGGACTGTGTGCTCGTTTGTCATCCTTATCCCATATAAAAATATTCTAACTTTTCTTATAGTCATTTCGACTTAAAGTAGGTTCAGTTATTCCGAAGATTAGCCCGGACAGACAGACAGACAGACATAGTTTTTTTTTGTCTTAACATCATGCAAATAATCCCCTAAGCTGATGCGTTTGTCACCCGTGAGGACTAAGATGGAATGCCTCGTTTCCAGTAAAAGAGCTCTCCGGTTCTCCACACTCACCATTCGAAACAGCGGCGTTCAGCTGCTATTTTACGCTGGTATTCTGTGAGAGCGTGGTCCTTCCTCGGTCGAGCCGACCCATTCGTGCTACAACTATACTACTAATATAATGGAATATGGCTGGCTCTACCACGTTAAAAATCTAATTGTTGTATGTGGGGAAATTCTCATAGATATTATTAGGTTGCTTTGGAAGAGGTCGATATGGTGCACTTATACCGACTAAAACACCTAATATAATGCAATATGGCTGGCTCTACCACGTTAAAAATCTAATTGTTCTATTTTTTTTTTTATAGGATCGGGTGACAAACGAGCACACAGTCCACCTTATGGTAAGTGGTTACTGTGACCCATAGACATCTACATCTATCCTCAATAAAGACTCAAGATGCAGATGCGTTGTCACCCGAGAGGACTAAGATTGAATGCCTCTTTGCCAGTAAAAAGGGTCTCCGGTTCTCTACACTCACCATACGAAACACAGCAGCGTTAAGCTGCTATTTTACGCTGGTTTTCTGTGAGAGCGTGGTCCTTCCCCGGTCGAGCCGACCCATTCGTGCTACAATCATAATATAGCTGCAGCATGGCTCTACCACGTAGGGCAATTCTCATAGATATTATATCTATGTGTGTGTCTCATAGATATCTATGTGGGGAAATTCTCATAGATATTAGGTTGCTTTGGAAGAGGTCGATATGGTGCACTTTTACCTACTAAAACACCACTGTCGTCAGTGTTGGCTTTTATCGTCCTTCTTGCAATTAGGTGGTAGCACATCGTTTCTGGCCAGGATTCCGTCTGGGTTGGTGTCACCTTCTTACTTATTGCTGTCGTCAAGTAGCAGTCTTTCTATTGCTGTGTTTCGGTCCTCAGGTTATAGAGAACCTGTATAATTATAGATTGTAAAGCATTCCATCTTAGTCCACAGGCGTGACAACGCATATGTAGCCATCTTTGTATGAAGTTGGCTATAGGTGTCCGTGAACTGGTGGCACTCGACACCAAGTAGACTGTATGTTCATTTCATCATTTTAAACACTTCAGTTTTATAAAAAAAAAAAACTGGTGCTGACTCATGAAGCAACCGAGTTGTGTCAAGGATTCACGGAATTCAGTTGGCCAATCTGGTTATTTATTCTCATGGAGTCTGATTTGACATACATGACACTTTCAGCTGAATTATTTTTACTTTAGGTATCGCCGTTAAGGTGTTCTTAGAAAAATTAGAAAACTTGGTCCTCAGTGGTGACAACGCACCCGAAGCCTTCATTGTTTGAAGTTGCCGCTGATGTTTATGGCAGGGGTTCCCAAAGCTTTTCATTTCGCGGCACACTTACTGATTTAGTATTTTGTCTCAGCGCCATCTAGTTTAAATATGGTACTAGGCACAGAAATTGAAGCTGAGTTTTTGTATTTATATTTACACACATGAATACATTATTATTATTATTTATGAAAAATAGGAAATTACAATGGCAATTTATTCAATGGGACGTGTGAGCTTAGTGATCTCCACACATTTTTCCAAAGCGCGGAATAATGCTTGAAGCTGCTACACTCATTTCTTGCTCCAAATTGATCTTTGAATGATATATCCTCATTATTACAACTACAGCTGAAAATCTGGTTTAATTTATACCCACGAATACCTCACTTTAGTTTCCGGACAATGGTGAACGGGATCGGCTCACAGCGCCCCTCTTTGCGCACTCCAGCGCAGAGCGCCGCGGCGCACACTTTGGGAACCCTTGGCCTACGGACTTCTGTATCCAATAACCTTACATGTATAACAAACGTAATTGCAGGCTGTAAGTCATTCAATATTAGTCCTTAGCGCTGATAACGCGGCTGTAATCCTCTTCCTTGAAGTTTGTTGCAGTTGTCCGTAGTAGTGGCGACTGATAGCCTGATGATATCAGGCGACTGAAAAAAAATCTTCGTACGTGCATGCTCAGTTGTTATAGTACGACAAAAGCGAATCTTAATTTAACGAGATCATCGCCCCATTGTTACAGAGAAAGTGAAAATAGAGAGTGACCGTACAGTGTGACGGACAGACAGATAATCAGCCTTCGTTATTAGTTATACACACTCCACATCTTAGTGTTGGGACATACGGTTGTAATTTGAATGCACTGTTGGTGATATGTTTCTTATACAATTTAATTACGTATGTGAAGTAATTTTCTAAGTAGCTTGTTGTATATATGATGATGACTTATTAGCAATTTTTAGCATAACATTGGAGTGATATAATTGGCTTATTACAAAATTTAATGCCTTCTAATCCGAATTGCAGTCACGGCGGCCAGCCTCAACGGAGACTAGCCATCTACGCAGGACAGGATAATGCTCGAGTGTATGCGCAAGCACAGGTGCTCGGTGCTCCTCACTCTCATAGTCAATTGAATATAAATTATTCTATTCCATTATATTTTATTGGTGTTAAAAACATAGAACTGAGTACAGTGATCTCAAATATGATATTACTAGCGATCCGACCCGACATCGCACGGTTGATTTCTTGATCTCGACAACAACGCCATCTACCGGGTCCAATTAGGAATCTAAACCATTCTCAAATCAACTTAATCATACACACAAAATTTTATAGAAATCGGTCCAGCCGTTTAGGAGGAGTTCAGTCACATACACACAGACGAATTATATAATATTATATGTATATACAAACCTTCCTCCTGAATCATTCTGTCTATTGATGAAAAACGCATCAAAATCCGTTGCGAGGTTCAAAAGATCTAAGCGTACAGACGACGAGAAGCGACTTTGTTTTATAGTTTTATACTATCTAGAGAATCTTTGTAATTTATAATACGAGCATTTTATATAAGTTGCTGATGCGTTTGTTAGTAATCGTATATGATGATTCCATAGTTCACTTTATACGTGGTTTGTAGAGCCACGCTGTATTATGGTTGTAGCACGAATGGGTCCGCTCGACAGGGGAAGGACCACGCTCTCACAGAATACCAGCGTAAAATAGCAACTTAATACATCTGTGTTTCGTATGGTGAGTGTACAGAACCGGAGACCCTTTTTACTGGAAACTAGGCATTTCATCTTAGTCCTCAGGGATGACAATGTTAAATGTGGACTTCCCTCGTCTATGGGCCAGATAATCCACTTATCATCAGGTACCGTTTGTCACCCTTATGCTATAAAAAAAAATCTGTAATTATATAGAGCCTTTTATTCTATAATCTTAGAATATTATCGTCTCCATACTTAGAATAAGATTTAATTCAAATTGATTATGCGTTTTTGTTTTAACGAAAGCAAATGATGTTTCTTTAATTAGTGACCAAATGGGAAGTTATTAGTGAAGGAGGATAGATCGAAATCATTTAAAACCCTATGATTAGCGACCGCACATCATATTTAAAAAAAAATATTTTAATGATGTGAAAATTAAGTACTTCGTGGATCAATTATCACATCTTTAATATGTAGAGGTTTCGAATTTTTTTTTATATACCTAATAAGGGTGACAAACGAGCACACAGTCCATCTGACATCTACATTATTCTCAATGAAGAATCAAAATGCAGATGCGTTGACATCCCTGAGGACTAAGAGAGAATGTCTCGATTCCAGTCAAAAAACGTCTCCAGATGTCTACAATCACCATACGAAACAGCAGCATTAAGCTGCTATTTTACGCTGGTATTCTGTGAGAGTGTTCCTACCCCGGTCGAGCCGACCCATTCATGCTACAACCATATTATAGCTACAGCGTGGCTCTACCACGTAAAAAGTACCTAACGTCTATTCTATAAAGTTTTTTCTTATATCGTTAATAATAAATTTTTGTGTTTTGTTACAGAACCGAGTCGCCTCAATCTCTCAAAAGTGAACCAAAGTGCAAAATGTTCCTCGGATCATAGTACCACGTGAAGTGAAGTGTTAGGTATATAGTGAACATGAGCGGAACGTATGTGTGATTACAAGTGTCATGTGTAAATATTAAAAAAAAAAGGTAAAACAAGATGGCGTCGCGAGTATTGTTTGTGGTTTTGTTTGGGCTGGTGGCACATGCGTCCGCCCACGTAGCGCTGACGTATCCACCTGCGAGGCGGTTGGATTTGGACTTTCTAGACAATTCGAGAACGAAGCCGCCGTGCGGGATGCCTAAAGGTAATTATACTTTTATTTATTATTTCTTTATTTATGTATCCTACTGCTTGGTTTTCCGAGATTACGCTCCAAAGTATAATGGTTTCATATGGTGAGTGTAGAGAATCGGAGACGCTTTTTACTGGAAACGAGGCACTATATCTTAGTCCTCAGGAGTGACGACGCATCTGCAGTTTGATTCTTAATTGGGGATAAATGTAGATGTCTATGGGCCACAGCATTCACTTACTTAGTGGACTGTGAGCTCGTTTGTCACCCATATTCTATAAAAAAAATAGGTTATACCAAGGCTATTGCTGTCGCGCTGTGCCAAACCTTACCAGTCGCATCAGTCAGAGCATTTCGGAGATAGAGCGCGAGAGAGACATCTGCACCTCGGACTGATTATAAAATAGGCGAAATCAACATCTTGTGTTCCCAGGTTTCCTCCTCCAGAACAGGACCGATTTTCTACCGACTTCAAAAAGGAGACGGTACTCAAATCGACTGTATGTTCTTTTTTTTTAATGTGTGTTACCTCATAACTTTTTCTGGGTGAACCGATTTCGATGATCCTTTTTTTATTTGAAAGCTGGTGCTTCTTATATGGTCCCATATAAATTTGAACAAGGCCTGACCAATAATTTTTTTTAATAATTATTCTTTATAATTCATATTGAAGTCGGTTGTACAAAATTTTTAATTTTTAATTATAATAAAAAAAATTATAGTATAAGGAGGACTTTGGCTATGTCGGTATGTTTCTCTTATATATTTTTTTATGTTTCTCAAATTTGTTTACTGGATGTCTGATGATAAGGGCGGTATAACGGGTCTATTATAGTAATTTTAGATAGTACCTAGTTCTTATAGTAATTTTATACTTAACTTATCTTCACGCACAATCCCTGACGGGGTAGCCAGAGAGAACAGATCGCCAAGTGTCACGATCCTTACATACCTCTTTCGCTTCTTTCAGATTAATTATCTTCTTCATACATGCACGTCTAGGTATCCGAGTACTCCTGACCCTCCCCTCTTCGAGCAATTTGCTCACATGGTCTTCGAAAGTTAGTCTTGGTCTACCTCGACACCTTTTAATATTAACTTTCGCGCTATATATTTTCTTCACCATTCGGTCTTCACTCATTCGCTCTACATGCCCAAACCACCGAAGCACGCCCTTATCAATTTTTGTGATAAGGTCATCTTTCAAACCTGCCATATTGCGAATCTCTTCGTTTCGCTTTCGGTCGGCCATGGTAACGCCGCACATTTTACGAAGAGATCGCATCTCCACTGCATTCAATTTGCTTTTATGCTTCTTCTGGCATACCCAGGTTTCGCTGCCATATAACAAAGTCGGTACCAACACTGCGTTATGTATAGCACGGCGTGCACTCTTCACTACGCCTTGCCTTTTGACTAACGCAGTCAGGGCACCATTGTTATAGTAATTAATTTAAAGAAAAAAAAACATAGGTATATGGGGGTAGTAGAATTTGTTTGGTAAAAAATATTAGCTCTAGTGTCATTTATCCAGGGAGAAAAGAGAGGAATACGTCTGTATGGACTAAATGCCGCTAGCATATCCTCTTAAATTAGGGTTGCCAACCGTCCCGTTTTTCCAGAACATGTCTCAGTTTTTGTAGTGTCCTGGGATGTCCTCGTTTAATTTATAAGCAGCGCCCTGATAAGGTTATGTATTTGTAAGATCACGGCATTGTAATTAACGACGAAAACTTATTTGACGAGATAGACAACAAACCGATAACGTGACGAAGCGAAAACGAAAACACATTAGCATACATAGTACATACATTCGCTACGTTTTCGGTTCGGTTCGATTCGCAGTTACGTTTGACAAGGCCTTTACTGCGTCCTGTTTTTAAACTGAATTGTCCTGGTTTCTCCAACTTCAAATCCTAGTTTTTTAAATTGGGGGTTGGCAATCCTATCTTAAATACCTATCTTACAAAATATACAACGTGACTTACTATGAAACAACGATATAAGGTAGGGTTGCCACATAACAAAACAAATTATAGTGTTATTATTATGCATATTATGTTTAATGCACTACAATATACAGAATAAATGCGTTTCCGCTTAATTTTATCACTTCTTTAGTATTTACTATCTTGTCCACGTTAAATTCATGAGTTACCGTTGGATCACACTAATGGGATCATTGAGCATATTGTTAGATAGGGCATAGAGCATAGAAGGTTTTCAGGTTTATTGCATAAATTACTTCAAATTGCCATAACATAAACACGTTACGTATTTTTTTAATATTTAAGTATGATTATAGTTATATATTATAGTTATATCACGGTAGGCGAAGTGTAGGGCGACCCCCCACTAGATGGAGTGACGACTTTGTAAGACCTACAGGAACTCGATGGATGCAGGTGGCTCAGGACCGTGCATTGTGGCATTCCTCGGGGAAGGCCTATGTTCAGCAGTGGACTTGTGAAGGGCTGTAATGATGATGATGATGATAATAGGTATTATTTTTCTAACAAAAGTTACAGCCTATACAAGCCTCCCCCCATTTCTGAGAGGGTTTTAGGGCAAGGAATTGTCCGCCACGCTGCCCCAATGCGTGTTGGCGAACTTCACATGTCTTAGAATTTTTTTTTTCTTATTTCTCAGACATGCAGGTTTCCTCACGATGTTTTTCTTCACCGCTGAGCGCGTGGTAAATCGGCTCTTAAAATTGCAATTAATAAGTTCATTGGTGCCGGCGGGGATCAAACCCGGGTTGCTCGCGTACTGTGAAATTTACAGCGAGACCTAACCGTCTGAGCTACCACGGCTCTTTCTTGTATTACCAGAGCATTTAAAATTATTTTTTTAAAGTATATTCACATAATGTGAATAATTAGAATTAAATTTAAAAAAATGTAAATTTAAATATAGTAATTAAATAAATCATTTGTTGCGTATGCAACCTTCATGATTATTTGTTTTATTACCACGTCCTTATTAACTCGCTTTCGTGTGTGTCTGTTCGGTTCGAATTCAGTAATTGATTTTAAACTAACTTCCCGGTGAGCTAGACTTAAAATTTTGAACATAGCTCAGAAACGGATCTCGGATCGGAAAATAATGTAAGAATATTAAAAAAAATCTCTTGTTAAGGTAATAGTGATAAAAATTAACTTTTCTGAGAGATTTTTTGAAACAACGTAGAGCTATTTTGCAGCCATATTATGGTTGTAGCACGAATGGGTCACCTCGACCGGATAAGGTCCACGCTCTCACAGAATACCAGCGTAAAATAGCAGTCTAATACACCGACACACCGACCAAAAACTTGCGATAATGCGTTTCTCTTCGTTATTCAGGGACTATTAGTTATGAGATACTAGATCTCATTAGTTATGAGAAATAAACTACATCTTAAAGCACATTATTAATGTTCGATATCCTATCATCACATTCCACGTTCTAATTTATTTTATGTGTTATATATACATTTAAAATCTACTTTCAAAAAATGACCTAAAATTATTGATTACATGCATCTGTCGCTAAAGGCAACGCTCTAATCATTTGAGGATTACACTAATGGATAGATAATTTAAAAATCTATATTATTCACGTTTTATTTAAGTTTTAAAGTTCGCTTTTCTTTTTTAATTAAAATTAATTCCAAAAATTGTGTGAATTCTATGACAAATGGGCGTATGCAGAGTGCGGGCGGCAGTGCACTGCATGCTCAAGGTTATTTGGTCAGGGAAACGCCTTAATGTAGCTTAGTAAGGATAGATGTAGGTCTATATTGGCCACATTCAAAAACCATCAGGTGGGCTGTGTGCTCGCTTGTCCCCTTATTCTATAAAAAAGATAGTGTACTACTATCCCACATGTAAGTGGTGATGCAACCCAAGATGGTAAAGCACACTGACTAACTTTAACAAAAACCTATTCACTCTTGCCTTGAAGACACCCACATTGTAAACGGTTGGAGTGAGAGAGACAGATGCCGGCAAATTATTCGACTACTTTGCTGTACGCTATAAGAACGACAAAGCAAACAGTTTGTATGCGTGATATCTCGACAACAAAGGGTTGAAGGCAAGCTGAGCGTCTGATGGCCCGTAGGCGTATTACATATCTTGCAGAAGGCTAGCGATAGCGAAACTGGAACAATAATTGCTGATAAATCGCGGATTCGTATTATGTACCAGCGATAACCAAGCCCTGGCTAATTAGCGACCACAAGGCAGCGCTGTCGCTAGTTAGCTTGGTTATCGATGATGGAACGAAAAGGAAGCAAAGAGTATAGTCATTAAGAGGGAGGAATTAAGTAGATAAAAAAAATAACTTGTTTCCGTTATTAAAAAATGTAATGTCGACTAAATTCGTGGTCACTTTTTCTTTTTTTAATTGAAATATGGGATTACTGCTCAAGTATACTTTATTGCAAAAAAAATAATAAGGTACGTGAGAGTAATATGGTCACCATAAGCTTTGCCGCCCTATAAAACCAAAACTAGGAGGAGGACAGAGACAAAAACACAGTCGAATGTACTATAACTAATATATTAAGAAAAAAAATAGCGAAAGATTTACTTAAAAAAAAAATTTACTACACTATACAATACTAAAATCGACTAAAATATTTACTGTATAATGTCGAATGTCAAAATGGCGTCGATAAAGCGGCGCCCTTTTGACTCTATTATTTGATTGACTGATGAAGAGCTATCGTGTAACATAGCCATCCTTGAAACAGAAACGGAAACAGAAACTTTTATATTCAATATAGATTATAAATAGTACTTATTGAAAGTCAAGACTCTTTTTTTGAATTACCACTGGTTCGAAATAAAACCTCTGTCCTAGGAAGAACTAGCAAGAAACCCAGCGGGGATTTTTTTAAAAATAACAGCTTACATTCATGTATGTCACACAATTAACCAAACAAAACAAATTAGAAATAGCTTGCAAACAAGGCTGTAGGTTTTGAGTTATAAGAGAGTGACCATATTAACCGGATCACCGTATTA